TGTTTATAGTGCTGCCAAGTACATATAATGACAAAGTTACTTATACTATAATGATGTCTGGTGCAGTTGTATCTTTATTTATGAAATAAATTTCAAAATATTGACTCAATAATCATGTCTATTAAATAGAAGCCTTCAGACTAGAACAGTGATAACGTGTCAGCCTCTCATCCGAGGGGTCGGCGGTTCGCGCCTCGCCCAGGCGGAGAAGTTGCAATTGTCGCCTGGAGGTTACTGCTGTGGCTGGGCGCCACGGCGGGTAAGGACTAAGCGCAGCCAAGTCAGCAGCAGCTGACACACGTTAGCGAGTCGGCATTAGTCGACACAGGCCGAGCTCCCCTCATGGGCATAGCCCGGGTGAGGCTCAGCGTTGCATATCGGACTTATCCTTATTAAATAGAGAAATGAGTGTTCTAATCTTTAACAATTAAAGCCATGAATGACTGAAATGAAAATATCTCTTCATTTAATAACTACAGATACAATAAGTACTGGATTAAGCAATCAGCATATTTACAAGATCTTAGACTAAGAAATGGGAATATCAGTTAGCACTCAAATTTCAGGTTTGATTGGCACTTAATGATATTCTATGAAAATATGATAATAAATATGATAATGAAAACAATAATCGTATAATCAAAGACAACAGTCCTCATCCTAATAACGAAAAAGCCACGATGGTTATAACTGTAAGAGTAATATCGCATATTCAGCTGCATATGGTCATGTCTAACAGATACAGATACAAAATATAAAAAAATAAAGACACGTCAAAGCAGAATAAGAAAGAAAAATGTTGGAAGGAAATCAAAATATTCCAAATCCCCCCCTGGCCCAAAGGGAAACCCGGCCCTGACCCTTCCCGACTTACGTGAAGGTCTGCTCGCCCCAGCCCGCGATGAGCGTGAAGAAGCGCGGGGCGAGATCCCTGGCGGGGTTGAGAGCATAGCCGCAGTTGAAGCCGAAGCACACGCCGATGTTGAGGACGGTGAAACCCACGAAGAGAGGAATCAGCGCCTTAGGGACCTCCATGTTGCGCGGGTCCGTGATGGCGCACACGCAGATCAGCAGCAGCATCGTGCCCACCACCTGCGGAAGGCGGAGGGAGTGCGGTTGGTGCTTTTGTGCTTTCAAGGAGGGAGCTTTGGTCTTAATGAAAGAATTACGGAAAGAATCAATGAGGTTCTTTGCTATAACTATTATCTGCAGAGATAGGAAATGTATTTTGACTTGCTTTTCGGGAGGCATGGGGGTGTGAGAAATACACCTCCTTTTCCTTTTATTTTTATTTTCCTAAGGATGGCAAAGAACGAAGCAACTGACCAAACCAAACCCCGCCCACCGAGAGGCGAGGTTACCCACCTGATCGCCCATTCCGTTGCCATTCGAAAGGAAGTCCGTCACGACCGTCCCGTTGGCAGCCGTCATCGCCCCGGGGTACGTGGCGAAGATGCCCGCCGTCGCCAGGGTGCGCTCCGCCTCGAAGGCGTCCAAGGCGTCTGTGGGGAGGTGGAGGTGGTGAAGGAGGTGGAGGGGGAAGTGAAGATGGAGGTGGAGGGGAAGGAGGAAAAAGAAAAAGCAGAAGTAGAAGAGGAGGCGGAGGAGGAGGAAGCGGAGGAGGAGGAGGAGGAGGAGGAGGAGGAGGAGGAGGAGGAGGAGGAGGAGGAGGAGGAAGAGGAGGAGGAAGAGGAAGAGGGGGAGGAGGAAGAGGAAGAGGGGGAGGACGAGGAGGAGGAGGAGGAGGTGGAGGAGGAGGAGGAGGAGGAGGAGGAGGGGGAGGAGGAGGAGGAGAAGAGGAAGAAGAAGAAGGAGGAGGAAGAAAAAGTAGTAAAAAAACAATAAAAACAAGGAGACGAGGACAATGAAAAATAAGAATTAGAAGAACAGCGATAAAAAGAAGAAAACAGAGGCGAGAATAAGAAGATGGAGGAAAAGAAAGAAGAGGAAGAAGGATGTAATGAAAATAAGGGAAGTGGTTTAAATGTTAAGAAGGAAGAAGAGGAGAGAATGTAGGTGAGGCGAGAAATGGGGGATAGGGTAGACGACGAGGAGGAAGGAGGAAGAATGAAAAGAGGTGGGAAAAGGATGAGGAAGTGGAGGAATACAAGAAGTGTAATAATAAAGATAAGGAATTAGAGATAAATGAGGTGGATGGTGGGGAGGAATGAAGAGGGAAATGATGGAAGGCACGGAAAGAGTGGGGGACGAGGATTAGGAATGAGAGAATGAGGAGATAAAGGATGGAAGAAAAGGAGGAGGGATATGGATGGGGATGAGGAAGAGATGGAAAAGAGATGTGAGAAGAAGGAGGAAGAGGAAAGAAAAAGGGAGAAGATAGAGAGGAATAAATAGGATTGGGAGGTGGAGAATAAGGAAGCGAAGGATAAGAGGATAAAGAAAAGAAGATTCATAACGAAATGAAATGGGAGGTGGAGGAAGGCAAGGAGACAGTGAGGGATAAATGTGAAAGGAAAACGGAAGGAAGAGAAGAAGAGGA